CGCGCGCGCTAGGGATTGAACCCAGGGACTTGTGTATTGGAGGCAAGCACTCTACCAACCAAGCTATATGGAATCACCTTCTAACCCCAATTAGCGACACTTATTAACATTCCAGGGGAGAGTGTTTAGGCTTTGTGTCAGCTTTGTGTTGCTGTGACCAAAATACCTGACTGGAACAATTTGGAAGGAAAAAAGTTTACTTTGGCACAGAGTTTCAGAGGTTTGGTCCATGATAGACAAACTCTATCAATCTGGGACCAAGATAAAGCCAAGCACAAGGCAGAAGGGCATGGCAAGGGAGAGCTGCTTAGCTCATGGTGGCCAGAAAGTGGAGAGAGAAATGGAAAGGGACCTYAGGGAAGATGCACCCTTCCAGGGCACTCCCCCAGTGACCCACCTCCTCTAATCACACCCACCTGCCTACAGTTAGCACCCAGTTAGTCCGCTCAAACTAGGATGGACCAAATAGATCACAGCTCTCACAATCCAGTCATTTCACCTCTAAAATATTCCTGCATTAACACCTCCTGTCTAAACCATAACAGTGTGCTCTCTCGGCCAGAGCTGCTCTAAATATGGCCTGTGAACCAACAGCATCAACATCACCTGGGTGCTTGTCAGAAACAGAGAAACGGGGACCCCAACCTTACAACCAAATCACAATCCTGAGGGTGGGACCCCAGAGTCTGCTTCAACAATTTTTCTTACAATTCTAATGCCTTGGAGTTATTAAAAGCACAGTCCTAAACTGTAACTTGAAAAGTGCTGATTTGGGAACATTTAAGAAACTATTGTCAGAATATAGCGGTTCATTCAGTCACTCATTTAACAAGTCAATTAAYAGGAACAGTTACTAGGAGCCAGACTCTTGGCTATGCACTGGTGATTTGAGATAATCAATGAGATTGGGCTTTTAATGGACTGGGACATTATCTTACATCACAGCTCCCGGGAATTGTTTCCAGTGGCTCTGTTTCCTGGCTTCCTGGCTTACCAAGCAGGTTTTGCTGGTTGGGACCACACCACCAGCTCAGGCCACACATGGGATGGTGATTTAATGCGGTAATAAGAGCAGAGTGCCCCCTGCCACCCTGATATTAAATGTCCTTTCATTATTATCATTATTTCAGCTGCTGAAGTGATGTTAATCGGAACCATTATGCCTGCGTCTCGGAAAACTAACACTCATGGGTTTGGGGTTTATGGGGACAGCTTTTCAAGCACCAGCCATAAATAGCCCAACAGATGAGCTGGAGGTGTGCTCAGTGCCCACTCTCAGACCCGTCATATTAGGAGGGCAGACATTGCTTTTCTAGCTTTGAAATACCATATGTTGAGATCTTTTGAATTCATCAAATCACAGATAGAATCCTGTATTTTAGAGGGAGACAAAGATGTGGGAGTTCCTGGGGGCGGGGGGTTAGGGGAAGGACACGGAAATGAAGCAAACAAGTGTGTGTGTAAGTTATACACCACCTGGCTTCTCTGCCAGCATGCCACCTGCCTATCAGCCAGACCTAGACAGGTTGCCATTACCGTGGATCCAGGGGGCCCAACAGCTGTTCTTCTTATGCCAAGAATAGCAACTTTAAGAGGAGAGTGCCAAGGAAACAGGAGACTTGAGAGAGAGAGAGACAGAGAGAGAGAGAGAGAGAGAGAGAGAGAGAGAGAGGCAGAGAGAACAGAATGCACAAATATCCATAGCAAATAAACCCAGAAGAGTGGGCGATGACGGTAGTACTACAGGTGTAAAAGCACATGAACCCTTTCTAATAAATTGGCCTATTAAAAGAAAAGGTCAGGTGCTTGTCTAGGCTGAAGGAGGATGTTCCTCCAAGACACSGAGCAGCAAATTGTTTGTCTGCCTTTGGTGATCCTCTGAGAGGTACTGCTTAGAGACTAGAGACGCAGCACTCTGGTGGTTTCCCTGGTTTCAGGCTTCCAGGGTGCTCAGCACCACAGCAACATGCCTCCTGCCCAGCCATTAGGAAAGGAAAGCTAATTAACAGAGACTGGATTTGTTCCACTCTTAGCAAAGGGCATAGCATTATTCTGAATGAGCAAGGTTTTCTGAATATTAAACCCCCACATCCTTACAAAGTTGATCAGAACTTTGTATAATTTATTCCCTTCAACAAGCCTATGAGATTGGGATTATTTGCCCTGTTGAGGAAACTAAAGACTCAGAGAGGGTGATGAATTTGCCTAGAGTCACCCATCTTCTGAGTGCCAGAACTAAAGGTCCAACTCTGTCCTTCAGATAACAAAGCTTTTATTGACTCCACCAAGCTCTGGTTCATCATCTACCCACCACTTGATTCTGGAGGCTAGATCTTCCATCACTCGGAAACACTGAAGTTTTACTTCTGCTCATCTTAAGGTTCAGGAATGACTTGGTATAAATTCTTTCCCATTTCTGTTTCTTAGATTCCTAATTTTAGAGCCCTGCATTTAAGGAAAACTTTACAGCTTGACATCATATCATGAGCATGCATTCCAGTGACCAGGAGAGGTATTTGAAAATTAGCAGGCTTATGGTATGATGCCCCATCAATTTTTTAATGGACTCTCCATAAAACTAACATGATCTTGCTAACTTGTTTTTAATGCCAGTAACAGAATGCATCCCTGAAACTTCTTTTCTCCTTTTGGTATGATTTTTGCATTTGACATTTTATCCAAGAATCACAGGATAGAAACAAACGAACTGTGAAATCTATTATCTCCAAAGTTTCACTTTGGGATTCCTCCAGTCTAACAACACAAAGTAGTAAGACCTGCTTCACAAGAGTGAAAGTGTGAAAAGATTACAATACAGTGTACTAAATGAAAATCCCAGAGGAATTCAGTCTTAAAAGTCAAGAAAACAGTAGAATAGGAAAGATGGAGAAAGGATTGCTAAGCCCCCTCCTCCAGATTCATCTCAAAGACCAGCCCCTATGATTTTTGGTTTCCTTGCCTCTCAATGGGTGTGTTTCTGATATTCTGACTCTAAAGAGTTTTTATTTTATGTTTGCAAAAAAGTTATTCTCACACAAATAATAATAGAATGGTGATGCCCCAAAGCCCTAAATCTAAAATTTTCTCCCAGCTTTGGTTTTAAGTAGGACATCAGAGAGGGTGATGAACTTGCCTAGAGTCACTCATCTTCTGAGTGCCAGAACTAAAGGTCCAACTCTGTCCTTCAGATGACAGAACTTTTATTCACTCCACAAAACTCTGGTTCATAATTTACCATAAATACTAATATAAAATACACAAATCTATTTTTCAGTTAGGTAGTCATGCTCATATGCAATACTCCTATTCCATGGTAAGCTTCTTCAAGCCTTCATTAGTATAACACCAGCTGCTATAACAAAACAAAATAATGTGCTCACATGTCCAGTGGTGCAGCACAAGAGGAGTGTCTCATTCACCTATATAAGAGCTCAGGTGTTCTGGTCAGCAGTCAACTTCACCCCCCTAAAGGAATTTGGAAGACCCAAGTTCCCACAGCCTCGTGCTCAGCTGTTCTCTGGGGCCCTATTTTTTCTGTAAGGAGAGATAGGGAGTGGAATACTGGCATCTGAACTGCTCCAGTCTGACAGGGACACGCTTTATTTCCACTACAATCCATGCACCATCTCTAACCACATGGCACCACCTCTTCGCAATGAGGACTGGAAGTGTAATTCCTGTAGACAACCATTTCCCCAAGGCTATGCTCTGCCATACAAGAGGAAGGACAAATTCCAATGCACAGTTGACTGTCTCAGATGAGAAGAGCCCATGCCTTCTACAACTGTGCTGCTCAGAGAAGTTTTTATCACACCAGACTTCCTTGGGTGCTTTTATCCCGATTTCTCTGATGGCAATATCTGGGCACATGACTTCTTTAATAGGCCTGTTGTGCCTCCAAGGGCCACCCAAGGAAGCAGGTATGTCCCCTAGTACCATTATTATCACAATGAATTATCTGATTTCCTTTTTTCACTTCTATTTTTCCCAGTTAGACTCTAGTTCCATGAAGATAGTGAATCTGCCTGTCTTGTTCATCACTATATTCCTAGTGCCTAATAGTCCTGCCGTATTATGGGGACTCAACAAATACTTGAGAAGGAAGAGAGGATAGGAGAAGGAAAAAATGGAAGGAGAGAAGTTTGCTCTTAGAGAGATCTCAATCTTGCTGCCTGTAATTTGCAACCATATGGAATTTCAAAAGAGTAGTCAAGAGATGAGCTGGTCACATTTTAGGGCCTAAGATCCATTCCCCTTTGGAATGATGATGTCTCACGCACACACACAAACCCTCCTGACAACTTCTGATAACAATGAAAGAGACAAAATTAAAAAATCTTTTTCTTCTAAATGCCTCTAATGCAAAGGAATACTATTCGACATTAAAAATCAATAATTATTAATACATGCTATAATGGGGATGAATCTCAAAATAATTATAATAGCATATACTATAATTATATAACATATCCTGTGACTTATTCTATATGAAATTCTAGGAAGTACAAACTATTGTGACAGGAAGTAGAATGGCAGATTTGTGGGCACAGGGGTGGGATGGGGTAGGGAGCAGTGGATGGATAGTATTACAATGAGTATAAGGAAAACCGGGAGTGATAGATATGTTCATTTTCTTGATGTGGTCATAATTGCCTGGGTTTATATAGATGTCCAAACTTCTCAAATTGTGCACTTCAGAGTATTTGAGATTTGCTGTGTGCCAATTATACATCAATAAATCTGTTCAGATAAAAAATTTTAAAGACACATATAACACCATGGTAGCCATATAGCACCATGGTAGAGTAGACAAACATGCATTTATGGCACCTTTTGGAGAAACGGCATAATTGTGTTGACCCCCAAAGAGTGTGATGTGCTTTCCGTCTTGGAAGGTGACTGAGCTATGGGGCCAGTCATCTAAGAACGTGGGTCACTTAGATCTTTGCCCACATCTGCACATACTTCTACAAGCTCACATGTTTTCAAATCTGTTTTTTCCCAGGTTCAAAAGCCAAACCCATCACTGACCCCCCAACCCAGGCACCCAGCCACCCCCCACCGCTACCATGGCTGAAGACGCGGACATGCGCAATGAGCTGGAGGAGATGCAGCGGAGGGCTGACCAGTTGGCTGATGAGGTGAGAAACAGAGACCTGGGAGGATGAGCAAAGGAAGGGGAATTCCGGTTCTGGGAAAAACCTTCCTCTAATTTCTAATTTTTWAAAAATAATGACATCAATTTTCTAGGCTTCTGCAGACTAGATTGGGTTTATTATAAAACTTGTGTACTCACTGATGTCTAGATCCTTATTCTCAGTTTCTAGAAGTCTTAAGAAGTCAAAGTCTTCTAAGAAAAGTGATGTCTATGGATGTCTTGCAAGCACTGGTGTACTGGACCTAGCTCAATTCTGAGAGCTGGTTGTTAGGAACTTTTCCTGCTGATTGCTCAACACAAAGGTATTATATTGAATCATATAATCTAATAATTAGAAAGACAATGTTAAAATTAAAGGTAATAAAGACTCAAAACTCATCACTTCCTAATTATTTTACCACATTTTACTGTTATCCATGCTCTTGAGTTATTGACATCTATTTTATCTTGGGATGGGATACCATGTGTTACTGCAGATCCCCCCACCTCTGTGTTCAGTAACATCACATTGTAGTTAGAAATAAGACAGGGCAAGAATAATTACACCACAAAATCTGCAAACATTAAAAGTCACAGCTTGATTTGTTGTTTTGTTAATTACCTAGAGTTAAGAGAGTAGAGAAAATGTTAACAATTCAGATGAAACTTAAAAGTATGTTTATTAAAAAATGAGGAAAATCATCCAGTATTTGAAAACTATGATTCTCTTCAGCAAAGACATCACTTTCTTTATTGACCAATGAGCCAAGTTCCAATATATGTTCTTGTTGTTTCATTTTCCCTCTTATATCCAACCATCATTCATATCAGGACCACACTAGTTCATGGCATCTTTAGCTATGGTTACAAGAGTTCCAAAACCAACAAAGTTTTCAGAGGGGATCAATTTGTCTATATGAAATTTATAAAGTGACTAAATTATATTGTTATATTGTGTGCACATATGAATATATAACATTGAATCACACCATTATGTAAAACTACAATGCACCAACAAAACTATGCAAAAGTAGAAATTTACAATAGTGTTGCATATTTCATTGTTTGCAAATTCTGTGCTACTCATCCTTTATGTTAGCAAAATAATAAATTTGAATACATGCATACATATTTATGTATTTTGTCCAGAGAGGTACTACTTCAAAGAGCAACCTACTTAAGTCTTTTCTAAGAAAGTTAACATCCTTCAAGTTCCTGCAGAATCTTGTCCAAAATAAGTTTGTCATGTAAAAGCACAGCTTTGAGAAATCACACTGGTTCTTGGATTTTAGTATTGTTAGGGGAACTAAGAAAAAAGTGACAATACTGTGCCTGAGGGACAAGCACTGAGCTCAGACTTTCCATTGAATTTTTTCTTATCTAAGAATGAAGATAATTATTATAGCTGTCTCCTATAGGCTACTTATTTCAAACAAGTTTGATTTTTTTTCCACCTTAAGGCAACAGTTTAATTTGTATTGATAACAACTTCCAATTGTGTTTCTAGGAGCTTTCTAAGAAACTTGATGCTATATTCATCTCAATTCATGAAAAATTATGTTTGTGTTTAAAATTCAATATTCTTAGCCCAGGGAGGCCAAATTAGTCCTCTGAGTATTTGAGATAATTTTTCATGCATCCTGAGCATGCAAAATTATCTCTTCCAGATTACTTTGTCTTTGATATCAAGATCGGCTTCATATGGCTTTGATTTTATGAAGATTAAGCTTTCATGTAATTGCTTTAGGGAATCAGATCATGTAGAAAGCCCGATAGGAAAGAGATTGAAAATGGAAAGACATTTTTTGTATTTCGATTGCAAATATAAAATAATATGTGACAGGGACCCTTTTGTATTTCTCAAGTGAAGAAAGTATTTCTGGCTTTTCAAGATCTCTGGTTCCTGCACTTATAGTATTTTTTTTTTTTTTTATCTTAGTCGCTGGAAAGCACCCGTCGTATGCTGCAACTGGTCGAAGAGGTAAGGAGTGACTGTATTTTAAAATAAAGAAACTAATCCCTTAGGTAGACGTGTTCTTTTCCTAGCCCCTACTGCATTCCCTTGGCCACGATCTTATTAATTTCAGGGTTAATAGAGCCTACCAGAAAGTCACAAAATGAAAGAGATGCCATATTCAACTTGCCAAACAGCCGTCTAGGTGAATTCACCCTGCCTCCCACCTCAGCCCATCTTTATAGTTTGGGATGCAGAAAAGTATAGTATTTCTAAGCCAGTGCTCCCAAGAAATCAGAAAAGATTGAAGTCGCATTAAGCAGAGCAATTTTTACTATATAAAGGAATGATCTACATAAAAATCTTCATTTGTAACAATTTTGATGCCTGTATATCACAACTAATCTTGAAATTCTGTTCTGACTTTAGCAATATTTATGACTTTTAAACTAGGTAACTATATAAGTATATAATTTTCAGAAACTGCTATATTTAGAGTCAGGCACTAACAATCTATGAAAAATAGGAAAAATCTTAAACAAAGAGGAAATCAAGGCCAATAATATAAATATAAAAGCTCTTTTATATTCCTGACTCTGGATTGCACATCCATTTGCAAGGCATGGTTAATGAATCCCAAACTATTTTTAAATGGGTAAAATAGGGCAGATAGCAATAATGGAATCAAAAGGGCATTTGCAATAAACCTCACTCATTCCAATTTGGTAGAGCAGCAGTCAACCAGGAAGAATAAATGGATTAATTGAACTTGCCCATTGGGAGAGATGAAGCGGGAAAAGAAAGAGTCGGACTATATTTATCTTAACCTAATAAAACAAGCCTAATAGTTTTTATTCARCGAGATGCTGTTTCAGCTGTGCTTTGAATGCAGCTGCTTATCAATGTATAAATTCATGTGTGATTATCGTTTTTAAAGATCTTGGGCTTTCTGTAGCAGAATGATTAAATGAGCCTACCCACCTCGTGCTACTGTCAATTACATATGCAATGACATGAAAGGAAAAACGATAAATTTTACAAAGGCTAAAAGGAAAGGCATCTCATGCTACAGTGTTGACGTCCTTCCTTATTTCTGCAGCTTTAGCTTCTCACCTAGGGAAGAAACATGGCTAGATGTAAATTGCCACAGAAGGAATGGGGAGAAGGTGGCAATAATGAGCTCCCTAAAATTWAAAAAAAAAAAAATCTGGTATTTCAGAAATGAGTCTTTGAGCCTGCAATGTAGCACAAATTGCCCCCTCCCAGAAAGGCAGCCCAGCAAGGGAAAGCAGCCTTCCATCTCTAAATGAGAAACGTTTATTTACTGTGTTCTGGGAACACTGTTTTTGCAGAAATACTTGAGGAGCAAGAAGGAGACAGATATTCTAAATCTAAGAGTGCTGGCAAGTCTCTCAATGTGGTTTTATTCTCCCCCAGCTTCTCATGAGCAAAGAATGAAAGGAACATGCATTAATGAAATTTCTATATGGGCTCTGACATGAACCTGAAGAGTGCCCTGAAGTCCACTGATGTAATTATTTTATTGTATACTATTATACTATCATTATAATATACTTTATGACCTGGGACCACAGCCTCCAGTTTTATTTTTCATTTTTGTTTATGCATATGCGCAGGTAATATACGTTTCTAAATACCAGGACTGTCACCAATTTGCCTGCCTGTCCAGTGTTGGAATGCTGCCCAGACTGTGGAGAGTGGTGGACCAAGTGCCACCACCTTGACTAACTCCTCACCCTTCAGAATCTTGGGGACATGAACACTTTCTTTCTCATATCTTCTTAAATTGCAAACAGTGTCAGCCAGTCTCGAAAAATCAGTGTCTGCTCTAAATTATTTTAAGAAACAAAAAATTTCCCAAAGCTCTATTGATGGAAGTAGGCTTCTCAAATTATGTGTTTTTGTTTCTCCCAAAGTGTTTCTCGATCAAGCATGAAGTTGCATCTTAGAACAAGAAGCAAAACAGATGGAAGCAATCTCCTACCTCTAATAAATAAGAGGAGGCTATTAGACTTTCCATCCTTAGGAAATTGTGAGCAAGACATTATTAGAATGGATTTTTTCTTACTTCCTCCTGGGTTATTTTATATTTATGGTCAAAACCCCCTCATATCTAGGGCATTGGCTATTCAGATGATATTCTGCTTTTCAATCAAAAAGGAAATTCTCTTTAAAGAGAATCATCATTAAATATTCATCAAGGGCAGAAATCATTTGGAAAATCTGAGCTTTGAAATACCAGGATCTTGCCCATGATCCCAAAGTTCATCAGTGCTGTATAATTTGAATTGAACTGAATCCTTATTGAAATTCAGTCTCAAAGACAGGAAAGGTTACTAAAATTGTGAAGCCTCCCTAGGGCAAACAATTCCACTTTCAGTGGAATATACAACTTTGCACCATCCCTAATAGACTCCAGGGTATAACATCGTGGCTGGGTGGGGAGGCACTTTTTAATAGAAGCCATCAGCATTTCAAGGACAATATAAAGTTACAGGCAAAAAAGGTTAAAATCCTGTAGCACTTGCTTTCCAGCCTGGACTTGGGAACTTGCATTTAGTGGACACATTTCAATGAATATTTACTGGACACCTCACTCTGCTGATAGGAGAGAAGATATATATTGATGTCTTTCAGGGAAACAGAGAGGCAAATAATTCTCCAAATGCAAGGTCATACCTACCTAGAAAGCACAGAAGAGGGAATATTTGATTCTAGTAGGAGAATCATGAAGGTATTCTCAAGGAGAGACATTTGATTCTGGGCCAAAAAAAAAAAAAAAAAGTTAATTCTGCTAATGCTAAGTGCAGGAAATGAAGGCTACACATTAATGCCTTGAGCTATGAAAACTAGGCCCAGGAAAAGCCACCCTGCTTTAGGGCAAGCAGATTGGAAAGCTATACAGCTTTCATGGAGTAATTATTGAACCACTAGCCTGTCATGAATGTTTTAGCATCTTTTCTTTTTATTCCAACTGATCTTTCAGAACACTCTGGCCATGGAAAGGGAATAAACATTCTAAAAGCTGTGCTTGTGTTATGACAGACCCTGTGCTAGAAAACATTCAGGTTGGGCAGTTGTTTTCAGATATATAGATGTGGGATCTTTTGGGACTCCAGAGACTTCCTTTAGTGTCTTAGCTTTAGGTCAAATGTATTGGGCWTTGGGGATAGCATTTCAAAATGACAAAAGGAAAAATTGAAAATGTTCAATAAACATTGTCTTAGTTCATGTGTAAAAATAAATAAATAATATAAATAGCACAATCAAAATATAGAAATAATCTTTTTAAAAAAGAAAGAAATGTAAAAAAGAAAATCCCCCATTTTTATATAGGCTATTTTCCAAGCTATCTTGGAAACCAAGACTTGAGCTAAGGTAAAAATAGAACCACCTCTTCTCACTCCTAGCTATTAAAACAAAGTATTCTTTCAGGAATAGGAGAAAGTAATATTCTGTCTTCCTGAAGTATTGCCCTCATCCATGCCTCAACCTCTAAGTTTTTGGTTTTCCTAAAGAACACCCAGTTATTTTGATTGAAGTTATCAGCAAAACAATGGAACCAAATGTAAATTCTAACATTTACTAAGAACCTACCACATGTCAGGTCCTGCCTGGTCTTAAAGCCATCATCACTATCATATATGATCTAATTCCATCTTTGTAGCCACATTTTACTACTACTTCATCTCCATTTTACCATGAAGGAATGTGAGGGCCAGAGGGTTAAATAATTTGCTCAAGATGCACAGTTATAAATGGCAGAGATGAAATTAAAACCCAGGACTACATGATTCCAGAGCAGTTAATTTACCTTCCACCAGCACCTCCTACTATACTTATTTATTTTATTTGAGAGTTTAACGCTGGGGGGAAAAAGTATCTAAAAAAAACAAAGCAACTTGTTCTTAATAGATTGAGATTCCATTCAAATTAAATCCTGCATCTTAATGTATTTCTTCCTGAAGTTAGCACAGCCTCCCATTGAGTTGAACTAACATTTAGCCTTCTGTAGTTCATTTTATCTTCATAAAGACTGTGGGAAGTAAGGGASCTTTTACTGTCCCCATTTAACTGCTGGGGAAGCTGGGACACAGAACAGTTAGGTTGAAAGCCACAGGACTGCAAAGACAGGTCTAGAATTTAGAATTTCTTACTCCCAGATTGATTCCATTTCTGCTCAGGGACCAGCTGAGAAGCCATGTATTTGTCTTCCCCTTGTCTTTAGTGCCTGGGTAGAGTAGAGGTCAAATAAACAATTATGGAACAGAGGAACAAATGAGTAAATAAACAAAATAATGAATGCATTAAACACTAAATGAACGGAGGAGGCTAAGTGCAATGGTGTACACCTCTAATCCAAGCTACTTGGGAGGCTGAGGCAGAGGATTGCTAGTTCAAGGTCAGCCTGAGCAACTGAGCAAGACCTTGTCACCCTGTCTTGCTAAATAAATAAAAAAGGAAAAGGACTGGGGGTGTAGCTCATTGGTCGAAAACCCCTGGGTTCAAACCCCAGTACCACAAACAAGTAAATAAGCAAATGGAGGAATGAGTAAGCAAGGAAGCGAATGAACCAGCCAACCATCCACACCGTCTGACTGCATCTCACCCTGATCTTCAGTAGGGAAAAATACCTAACAGGTCGCATGACTCTTCTAGTCTCACAGCTGCTTCTGGCTGAGCTAAGAGCATACCCTAGCTTTTCTTACCTCACATCAGTGCTCTCTGCTCCTGTACTGCCAGATCAGAGCAGCTTCCAACACTCTCACATTTTTTAGTTTTATGAGTCATTCTAATGCAGAAACACTTAGCACCAAATTGAACATATGTGAAATTATACTTGCAAGGATTCATATAAAATAAATGGGTCTAGCAGACTATCAAAATGTATAAATAGATGAGAGTTGATCTGACCACATGAAAATCACTAACCTTTTTCCCACCAATGGTCACCAGTAGAATGGAGCAGAGTCCTCAGGCAAGCCTTGATTGTGTCCTCAAGGAGAAACTGGTCTCTGAGTTGCCTCTGTCCTCAACAGAACCTCCACTGCCACATTCGTATGCCTGAGGAAGCCATCTGCTTTTTGTAATTTAGTCTCATAAGCAGTGGCTAAAATATGCAGAAAAAGGGCGAAGAAGTCATTACAATTCAGGCTGTTATAGACAGAACTTCATTTGTAACACATTTAAGGAAAAGACGGAAATGTCTTTCATGTTCTGGAATCTTGCTGCTCAGTATGTGTCCGTGCACCATCAGCATGCATCAGAGAGCTTGTTAGAAATGCAGAATGTCAGGCTCTATCCCGGTGCTACTGAATCTGRATCTGAATTTTAACAAGACAATTCATGTACAGGTAATCCATGTGCACATTCAAGTTTGAGAAGTAGTGATCTGGAAACTTCTGATGGTGGAAGGTAATGATGATATATTTAGTTGGCCTAGATATTCTTCTAGAGATGCATTTTTTAAATGCCTTTATCTTAAAAAGACTTCATGTCATGCTAACTATACACCAAGCTCCATTCTAGCACATTCCACTTATTCATTTATTGAATTCACATAAGAACTCAATGAGGTATAAACTCATTATTGCTGTGTCACAAATGAGAGAACTGAGGCACCTTGTAGTTAGGACACTCGTCCAAGGTCCTGCAGCTAGGAAATGAAATCACCAGGATTCCAGCCCTGAATCTGCTCTAGAATCTGTGCTCTCAGTGACTCTCCTGATGTCACCCTGGGCCATCATTCTCCCTACCACACTCTGACTTGGCCACGAAAGCCTGTCAAAACGTGCTCAAAAACAGCATAGGTTTTTGTGACCTGGGGCGTTAACTGCATGATTACTCTAAAATGATGAGTTTATAATGGCTCACAGTGATTATTTCCAGTGTTTTGTTTGACTTTTGAGAAGCACGACTGGAATTTAGTTGTCAGCCCCCACTAACATCTCCCTTTCTTTCTTAGTTCTTAAGTAAGTCAATTTATTCTGTGGGTTTCCATGAGCGTTCCTTGAAAAACTAATTAATCTAAACTGTAGGCAATGCCATTTTATATTCATTAAAAGTCACCCTGTGAAATGGAGTGTCTTTATTTAAACTGGTTAGAATTCCTAGAACCTGTGATCCCTAAGTATGAGCAATACATGTATCTTTGTTCCTTCTCCCTTGCTCACTAACTCCCACTCCCCCTGTCCCAATAATGCAGGTGGTGTTGGTTTATTTGGATAATAAGGAATGAGAGGAGAAGTGACTTTTAAAGACTTCTTAACAAAGGAATTGCAGTAAGCTTGGACAGGAGTCCCCCCCCCACACACACACAATATCATTGTACAGACTTTTAGATTTTAGAATAAAAAGCCCTTGCTTCTGATCTTGTTCACTCTTCTAAATCTTACAGAACTTCTCTCCAGAGAAAGAAAATAGGCAAATTAGTTTCTCTCTGGCTGTGTTTCTCAACTTTTGTGAGGCCATGCTCTCCTCTAATAAACCTATACATTTCACCCTCAAGATTCTTATGTACCTTCCCCATGGCCAGAAGAGAAAATTCAGTCTAGAGGATTTTGAAAGATTTGCTTTCTGTGGTTGGTGTTATGAAAATCCTAGGTGTTTTTATTTTTAAGGCACAAAATTACATTATAAGTTTAAGTGTGTGTATGCCAATACACACTTCATGTTTTGGAAGCCCCCTCCCAGGCTCTACTTGTGGTGATTTTACCACACCCCTTCCTTCGGCCCCTAAGATCACCGATAGAGTGAGCCAACAGGGTACTCATTCCTATGAGTCCCTCCCCAACCCCTAATGTTCTCACCATATTTCCTCCCTTTTTTCTTTGGTCCTTCTTCATTTTCCATTTCTAGGGCTAATTGTCCCCTTACTGATGTCTCTTTCTCTCTTTTCTCCCTCTAACTCCTTTTCAACTTTGCTACCATTATTGGAATGTAGAGTAAAGATGCTGGTATCAGGACTTTGGTTATGTTGGATGAACAAGGAGGTAAGTTCAGATTTCTTCAGTAAGAAATTTAAATAAAGTGATTTTTTAAAAAAATTCTTTGTGCATCCACAGGAGGCCATTTGAGCATGTGTTACACACATATGTGAGTTTGAGGGTTCTAGAATTTTCATCTTGCTAATTTTTCTTCTCTGTTGAAAAGATTGATAAACATGTAGAAATGCTGACATCTTTCTCATGACTGAATGAATGATACTATTTGTTATATCTCTTGGAGTAACAGAATCCTGATGGGAAAGCCATGTGTTTGTATTTTTTAAAGAATAGGATTTTAAGCAGTGTATGATTTTTTTATTCTCCTTACCCCCAAACTTTTCCACAAATTTGGGTTCCTTCACACCTTGATAGGATGAGAATGTTATAAATCACATTGTCCACTTCTTTTAACCATCCTAATTTATTATCTGGCAGTTTTGATTTTCAGGCCACTATGGAGATTCCTTAAATAACTAGAAGGTATTTTTGACAGGATATAAGCAAAGGGAAATGATCTGGAAAATAGAAAATTAAATCAATTGAAATATTTGGCCTGTTTTCTTTTCATTATTTAAGTACACTCTATTTTATCTTAAAATAGTTTAACCTTTATGATATAGACTTATTTCAAAAAATGGAAAATCTTATCTTGCATATATGTGTGTGTATATATATATCACTCTTTTTTTTTCTCCAAAGACCATTAAATACTAAAAAAAATAATGACTGTAAGGAACCAAATCTCACTTTAAGAAAACTAGAGTTGCACATTTGAAAACATTACTTCTACACAATGATTTGTCATCATCACATCAAGTTCACACTCACACCTCAGMAATAGCAGATCTATTAACGGCCAAAGGCATTGGTTCCTAATCATACAGTGGCTGACATTTCATGTCTGTGGTAAGAGGAGCAAAATGTTCCATCACCTTGTACTGTTTAAAACAAAACAACAACACAAATATTTCCTAGTTATTTAGTGATTTTTTTTAAAGATCACTACACTTTAGAATTTGCTAAAAGGATAAAAAGTAGTGTTGTAAATAAAAATGGAAAGAATACAACAACAATGAACTGAACTGTAATTATTTTAAACAAACAATACACAATCTGACGAAATTTGGTTAGGGTGAAATCATTTTTACATGTACATGGAAGTCATATTGTACACATATTGGAGAACAGGGATTAGGGGCTCTTCTTTTTGAACTTTTGGCCTCTTTTTAAACTCATGATGGAAATGCTAGAAGCAGTGAAACTCGGGAAGCCGGCATTTTAGTATGGCATCTCTATATTCTATGGTGGCACCTAAAATGGTAATGCCATAATATTTGTGGTTTTGTTTGGTGGCAAATATCAATATTAAAACTTATTCAGAGGTCCCAATAAACTCCAAGCATAAATTTCAAATTTGGACAATTGCCATATAGGTATCAGGCCTAAAAATGTTTTCCCAAAATATAGAAAGCCCTTACACAACTTTAAAGAAAAGAGCAATCAAAAGAAAAAAACATAGACATAAGATAGGAATCATCAGTTTACAAATAGACATACGAAACTGGGTCTCAACCATCAATGGTAGTGAGATACTGTTCTTTATCTAGTCGACTGACTTAAATTTTGAAAATTGATGTTAACCAATGTGATGAATATGCTGGGAAAACAAAAACCCTTATTCTACAGATGGATGCTGTAGAAGGGTATAAATTTCTTGAAGAGTAATTTATAATACCTTAAAATTTAAAGTGTCTTGATTTTGATCAAAGACATTCTACTTTTAGAATTTGACAGTGGAGACACACATTTACAATTACTCAAAGAAAAATGTACATGGCTTACTTGTAGTCATGTAAGACTAGAAACAACCTATCTGAAAGCAGGGAGATGAACTAAATTAATTATGGTAATACCATGAAATAAATGTTCTGCAATCAATACCATAAATAAAGTAAATCTTTACTGACTTCTGGGAAGTGGGGTAGAGACAGGAAGATAAGTTATTTAGAGTCCTCTAAGAAGCAAATCCTAAGGAGCAATACAAAGTATAAGAGATTTGGGGGGGATATGTCTGTGATGGGTCAAAGGGAAAGGGAACAGGGATAGGTAAGTGGAACTTTTAGACTTTTAAGGATTTTATGGATCCAATACCTATATCAGCAGAAGGAAGGAGGATTGGGTAGGAAGGGCCTCAAACTGTAATACTTCTTGGAAAAAGTCTCAGCCAGGCTGATGGGAAGTCCAGGAACCGAAATCACCCATTGGAACAGCCCTATTTTAGTCATGTATGTTTCAGATCTGTTAGCACCATTGTACTCAGTCATTGGCTTGAAGCATCCCAGGGAGCACATGACCTCAACATAAATGCTGTGGCAGTTCCCAGGTGCAGAGCTGACTCTACTTCTCACAGAAGAGTCTTCTATAAGGAGCCTTGAGGGCACATCCCCATGGCTGTCATAAAATCACTTTTGTTGTTACATTATTTGCATTAAACCTTTTCAAAAATATACATCAAACAATTCAAAGAGAAATACTTCTGTAAAACCAATTGAACATCAACCCCAATGCTTTCCTTCCAATTTTAAAAATATAAATTGTCCAAATGTATATGCCAATAACAGGGTCTAGTGGAGTTCTATTTTGAAGGCACTACAATAACAGTGCCAGTCTACAGAGCTCCCCAGATAGATTTGCTATAATTATAAGACTTGTTGGCTTGATCTGTGCAACGATGTCCCAGCTTTGAAACTCAGAAGGCAGTAAATCATTGATTTTTTAATAAAGGAAAATGTAAACAGCAGGTTCCCACATAGAAGAGTGGTACCTTATTTCCAAAGCAAAATTGAAACAAATACACTTCAATAATTAGCAATTCCACCTTGTTGGCTCTTTCAATTAGTAATTCAGAATGTGAAGGGATGGAAAAAGGAGACTTACAGCAGAGGGAAAGTTGGCAAAAGATTCAGGATAATGACTTTTCCCCTTAACTATATACACTAACATAAAGATGTGGAAAATACTATAAATGAACTTGGAGTATTAMGCACAGATGATTCCCAGATGTATTTGCATACTTTATCTGAGAAGCGAAGCAGAATAGAATATTTGTTTGACAGGTTTCTTCATGAGATAGTGAGTGTTCTCAGCTAAAACATTTCATTTGTGGCCGTTCTTGAGTAAATGCTGAATTCTTCTGTTCACTGTATTTCCTAGGCTAAGCCTGAGTTTTGCCAGATGTGTAGTGAATAAACCGATTCTGATGAGAAACCTGCAACTGTAAGACCACCAAAAATGGATGATCTGTGCCTAGTGTTAAGTGGGACCCATTCCATTTATAGTATCATAGGAACTTAGGGCCTTTTAATATGACAACTAAGCACAACTGTGTTCACTACGGTCATAAATGCATTTTAATTCTGCATGTGCTATGTTTAGTTGTTTTAAATCAGTAACTGCTTTGCAATTTCTCTTCAGTTATGCTCTACTAATTCTGTCTATGCCTGAACACCAAAAATGTTGACTATTTCTACCTTGCAGCTGCTCAGGAGCCTCAAGAAACAGACATCCTTCTAAAGAAACATTATACACCCACTGTCAGGTCAGGCCAGACCATTGCAGGTTATCTAGCTGAACAGTTAAATTACTTATAGGGTTTTTGTTTTTTACCCAGGTATCAGGACACACCAAGGAGCACTGAACATGACAGACATCCCAGGAAATATACCAAGCCCTGGAGCTTTTCTTTCCCTACAAAACTTGTGTCCAAGGGAAACCCCCTAAAACAACCATGGCATTAACATAAGATGATCTAACCTTTCACCTCTGTTTCTATTGTTGGTTTTTGCTGGATTGTATGTTTGTTCTGATAGCTATTATAGTTCTTTGAGAACAACCCTGGGATGAACTCCAAACTAATAATGAAATTTCTGATCACCACCTCCTGGCAGAGGGAAGAAAAAGTAGAACCCCATCCAGAGACCCAGCCAACAATCTTAAAAGGTTCATGGCACTGCAAAGCAGAATTTGAGAAAAAATATCCTTCTTGCTGATGTTTACTCGCCAAGTATCAGTTAGGAATGACTAAGGCTGCACTAGCCAATATAGTAGCCTTTCGTTGCATGTGGCTCGTTAACTTTATTTACGTGAATTTTTCTGTTTTAAATCAATGTTAACAAAAATGAAAAGCACATAGGCAGCATCTTGAAATTGGACATATTCATGAAGGCTTGCACACTAGCAAAGCATCAATGTCTTGCTATTTTATTGTGTCTTGTTTTGTGTTAAAAAACAGAATGAGAATCCTAAGAGCCCTGTGTTGTTTTACTAAGATGAGCTCAGTAGAAAAGATGTGTAAACTTAGAACCCAGAATATCCTACCACTGGTGGATCTATCACAAATCACCATTCAAATATCAAAGCAAAAGAAAGTTCAAGCTTTTATGCCAACATAGAATGTTGTGACTTGAAAGCCCTCTTCTGACCTAAAAGGTTGTTCTCCCAGTCTCTAAGAATCAACATAAAATTGACAGAAAGCAAGCTTAGAGAGCTAAGATGAAATCAACCCTGGATGATTCATTATATCTATTATCAGAGAGGCTGCTGTCACCCCAGAATGACATAATGACATTGGTTGTTTTCATCTCCACTCCCTGAGAAATGTCTTCACAGAAATCATCCAAGTGCTATGAAGCCCCAATATATCAAATGTACCCAGAAACACAACTCACTGGACTCTAAAAATTAATATTATTATTAGAATACCTGTGACAAACGGTTTATGCTATTTTTTAAATTAAAGGTTTGACTTATAATTTGTATGTAAAGATGCATTTAACTAATATGGGCAGGTATAAAATATTTTTCTGAATCAATCCTTTTCTGAACAGTTTTCTCAATTAAATTCTGAAAAGTTTTGTCAGAATTTCCTCTTTTGTAGTCAAACCTTTGCAAACCTTTCTTTTTGTAGTCAAACCTGGCAATTTATAGCAGAACCCAACTCCCAGAAATATGGATTTTGATTTGCTTGTACATTTGAACAAGTTCAGTTCAACATTTATGGACCAATTCACATATCTAGATGCTATTTCCTAATTTCTGCAGGCACAGCAGATAGCCTTTTGGAAATCTTGTGGGAGAGTTAGTATTTGGCCAAATAAACAAGTTAGTTGGCTTTCTCACTCAAGAGAAACTCCTCAAAAGGACAAACACCTAAATATACATCCCTCTGCCATAACCTACACTGATTTCAGCTGTCACTGGTTGAGTCTAACATGCTTTCCCTCAGTCTGCCATCGATCACACCCCAGCACACCTGGAAGCCATTAGCAATTATTAGATTGTAATTCAGCATCCCTATTTCTATCTATAGGTATGATGATCCTCATCTGATGACATTGAGCTCTTTGACATTGAACCTTCCCCCACCACCACCAGTCCCCTCAATCAAATATTTAACTTGACCCAATCTAATCTATTGGGATGTTTTTGTGGTTGTTTTTGTTTTGTTTTGTTTTGTTTTTTGGAGGGATGGGGGATTGAACCCAGGGGTGTTTAATCATTGAACCACATCTTCAACCCTTTTCACTTGTTTTTATTTTGAGGCAGGGTCTTGCTAAGTTGTGTAGGGTCTCAATATGTTGCTGAGGCCTGTCTCCAACTTGTGATCCTCCTGTTTCAGCCTCCCGAGTTGCTGGGATTACAGGCATGTGCCACTGTGCCCAGCTCTATTGCATTCTTAGAAGGAAACTGGAGTGAAATCTTCAGAAAAGAGAAAAATCTCCTAGAATATCAAGAGTATACAGTATATGAAGATATCACTGTACCTGTACTTATTCAGCAAAAAGTTTTCCAGCTCTTCAGCACTATCATCTTATTTCCTCCAGATATCCAGTGCTAGCTAAATGCTAAGATTTTGTTTTCGCCAGTCTTTTTGAAAAGCAAAGCGGAGTTAGTAGTCCTCATAAACAGAATTTTGTTCTTCAGCCCCACAAAACAGAACACAGTAAGCTTTTTACAAATTCATAGTTTGGGTCACTAGTGAATCCAAGTTAGGCTTTGGAATGACAATTGCCACTGTACAATTTAATGTGAAATTGTTTTTACATGATTATTCATGCCCTTAGGCTGGAAATGTACTTATCAGTTTTATTCTAAGCATGCCTGTATTCCTGGAGGCATCCAAATGCATGCATGCATGAAAATATAGATGAAAAGAAGAATGGGAATGTAATTAGGTTTTGTAATTAGACAACCAAGACATCTCATTTGCTGCTCTCTTTTAATGGCTTTAAAAGCTATTTTTAAAAATCCCTTCATTGAACTTGTAGTTACCTCAATTTGGTGACACAACTTTTGAAAAAATAATCAACTTGATGTATGTAACCCTGGCAACCTAGAAATATGATTCATTTTTATGTCTATCAATCTATGTCTTAGATACACTAAGGTCAGCTTTGCTAGCAGCAATGGTACAGTAATCATCTATGTTCCAATCTGTCTCACTTCTTCAAGGAGATGTTTATTCTCCCTGCTGTCTACATGGGGTTGATTGGGGGGGGGGGGGGCGTTATATACACTGGAAAGTCAGGAGCCAGAGAAATGAAATGCCTTTCAAAGCTTTCTTAGCAAGTGACTCATAGGATGAAAGACAAATTGAAACACCCCAATATTGATAATATTGCTGTGTTGATGTTACTTTCTTTTACAGCTTCTATGAATTAAATATGGGGAAACCAAGAACAGACCATAGGCTACTTTTGGCTACGCAGTCACTGCTTAGAGGAAGAAAAAAGACCCATATCCATTGCTAATTATTGCTATTGCTGCTGCTGTTTTTCCTGAAAAGGGGGAACATGGGTTCTATTTTCTACCTTTATCTGGTTAAGGATATTTAAAAACAAAACAATACAGATATTTTAAGTTGAAGCAGATACTTCCTCTTGTAGCACTAAATAAGAATGGCTTAAATATGAACTAACACCCTGTTTTTCTTTCTTTGGAGTTTCACTGGTGTGTGAGTAAGTGAATATACTGTGCTTTCCCCCTGGACACTCAGAATCCACAGGCCTTCTGACCCATTCCATCATGTCTGAACTACAAACTAGTTTGAGCATCATTTTTGTTCATTTCCTCCTATCTGCCCGCTTAGGGCAGCGGCAGCCCTCTGCATTGCACCCTCTTGGACAATGCATTGTAATCTCTCTCTTTCAAATTCCTTTTTCACGTAGTCATTTCTCATATTCTGTTGGAAACCCAAGAAAAATTCATTCCACACTGTCATCCCTTTGTCCTAACCAGAACAACTCGATCGGGTCGAAGAAGGCATGAACCATATCAACCAAGACATGAAGGAGGCCGAGAAAAATTTAAAAGATTTAGGGAAATGCTGTGGCCTTTTCATATGTCCTTGTAACAAGTAGGTACTGGGTACCAGCTCTAATCTGTGGCGTCCAGTTTTCTTTCTTTCTTTTTCTTTTTTTTATTTTTCTTTTTTAATGTCAAAGTGAATGTCTGAAGTTTTGTCTTTTTTTTCTTTGTCCTTTTCCATCTGCTTCATTCTGTGGGGATAAAATACTTGTGTTTAATCAGAACAACTGGAACGCATTGAGGAAGGGATGGACCAAATCAATAAGGACATGAAAGAAGCAGAAAAGAATTTGACGGACCTAGGAAAATTCTGCGGGCTTTGTGTGTGTCCCTGTAACAAGTAGGTGCTGCCTGCCTGCCTGAAGCTTTGGTTTTCCAAGGCCCCATCTCCAAGCCTTGACAAGCTCATTCCTGCAGGYGCATAGGCAGGATGAGCATGTGGCATGCAGAACAGATCAATACCGTCTCCAATGCATTCATCTCATAGCATAGATGATATTAGTGGGAGTTACTGTTGATGCATTAAAAATCAGGCATACTACAGTGAAAGCCTCACTGTCAGCAACTTTTATTGATGAACGTTTCAACATTTTCCAGAAAGTGTACTTTGAGACGCAGGCACCCCGTGATCTTTGTTTTCTCCAACCCCAAGAACCAAAATTGCGGATTTAGAATAGAKAATGGGTAAGTTTGGAAGATAAGAAACACGTGTCAAAGTTTGATTTTTCAAAAGTAATAGAGGCAGGTAATTTGGCCCAAGGAAGCACTCTGCAAGTTAGATTATGTCAGAGATTTTTCCCTTTCCATTGCCCACCTGTTACCAAATTTGGTCCTGAGACCCACCTTGTGTAGAGGTAGCGAGCTGTCCAGCGTGAAGTGCCCAATCCTTGCCCAAATTGGAACCATCCCTCTCAAATTCTTCCCCTTGGAAGAGCAACCCGTACACTGGCTGAAATGTTGAAATGTGTAGATTTTGCATGCACGATATCACAAAATTTTCAACTGTTCTTAAGGTTCTGCAACGCTTTTTTTGGAATGTAGCAGAAATGTGACATGTGGTTATAAGGTTTGCAACAGAAAGAACCTGAAACCAGGGTTCTGGAAGATAGTCTCATTTGACTAGCAGTGAAAGCAAAAAAAATGCATGAGTGGATTGTCCAACATGCATTTGGAAAATTAAACTCATTACCTGATCTCCCTCACCCCTCCCTCTTTTCCTTTTAAAAGAAGCTTTTTCTCCTAAAAGCTCTCCTAGCCCTAGCTTTTAGAATAGAAATTGATGTCGTTTCTAGCAGATTATATGACTATTCACTTTTTTAAACTTTGAGGCTGATTTAAAATATCCCACTTCCTGTTTAGGAGGGGGAGGGGCTCAATTTACCAATAAATAAAAAGCATGTTTTTGAAAGAATCATCTACAGTGAAGTCTGATTAACTGGAATCTAACTAACTGGAATTCTCAACTATATACTTCCTTCTCCCTTTTATTTTTAGCAAAATAATAATAATAATAATAATATCCCAAATTAAAAATACCCTGAGACAATCTATGTAATTTGCATTGTCTCAAGTCTCCATTCTCTTACAGTCTTCATATTTWAAAAAAAAGGAAGAATATAAGATGAAAGGCCATCAAACACAACAGTAACATTGGAAAAATTTGATTATGAGCACTACTCAAAGATGCCCAGGCAGAAAATTGGCTCAGGGGTCTAACAAAATTGCCCTTGAAATTGCCCTTGAAACAAAATTTCTTCTTCAGTCCATTGTTCATTAAGAAAGTCGTAAAATTTACCAAAATGACTCACTAGCAAGCATTCCAGTTAGTCAAGATTTGATTGTATATCCTTTCCAGTGGCAACTGGCCCCCACGTGAGATTTCCTTCCATTTTTTGTGGTGAATTCCAACAGATTCATTTTCGCCCTTCATCAACTATGTGTGAAGAAAGGGTGGAGGCAGGGCTCCCTGGGATGGATTCTAAGGTTCCAATGAAACACCACCCCTACGATTCCACATAAAAGTGGTCGCTAATTCCTTAATGCACAAGAGACCCTAACTGAGCTTCAAAGCTTGACCGAAGTGTTCCCTATTGCGTGTAAATAATGCTTTAAAAACCATGTGTCACAATGCAGTGGCTGGTGGTGCCCTGGACTATTTGAGGGCTTTGCCCTGTCTCAGCATGTTTCGAAGGACTATGGTAGATGTACGGCAGTGATGTGAGTCTATGTGCAGAGTTGTGGGTGCAGTGGTTTGCCTTCTTCTGGAAACGCATACTTCCCCCTCCTTTGACTTTGCCAAAGATGGTATACCAGATATTTTACATAGCAGAAAACATCAGAAAGTCCATAAAACTTCCTTTATTCCAAGGAAGGAGGAGATGGGGAGATGTGGGGATAAAGCCAGACTCTAAACTCTACAAAAATTACTTTGGGGATCTTGTCCCCTTGAGCAAGCCCATGGCCCCTTGGTGCGCTAATGTCTGACTGACTACTCAAAGGGCCACAATATTATACACTAAATTGCGGGGAGTTGCTGAAATTCCACTGGTGCATTTTCCCAATTGTCACCAGGGTTGCTTGGTCTGCAATCTGCAAGGATTAGAGCTAGTTTTAATAACTGGCTCTGGTCCTCTAGTAAAAGGGGAAGAAAAAAAAAGTTAAATTCTGCTGTTTTGTAACTTAAAAAAAAAATTATGAAAATGGTACCAAAGGATGTCTTTTGTTTCTGGACTAAAAACATATGGTTTCTACTATGCAAAGAACCTAAAAACATCTTTGATCGCCTTAAATTACAACACACCCACCAAAATGTGCTGCACATGTTTCTATTGGGCACAATAGGTATGCCTGGATTTTAAGTTTTTCTCCAAGGCAGCTCAGTGAAATACAGCCATGGAGACCACACTGATTCCAAACCACTCTCCCTCCGTCACAACCCCAGGATAGTTGGAAGTAGGAGTTTGTAAGCATTCTCCGCCCTGCCCTTCAGCCCATCAAAGAAGCTACTGAACTGCGTTTCAAATCCTCACGAAGGCTATTACTGTCCTGCTAGTGCCTTTTTCGGGAATGGTCAACTTCGGGAGTAGTTTGGCTTAAATGAGAATGCTTCACTTTCCACTCATGCCTGTAGCTGGTGCATGAAGAAGAGATAAGATGGGTTTCCCTTTTTGGTGCTAGGTGGCTTGTTCTCTCTTCTATTTTCCTGCATTCATTTCACTATGCTTCTTTTACTTTTTGTCTCTGTGGACAAAGGTTTGTACATCAACTCTGGATGTATGGTGACTGTTTGGAAGTACCGATATATTATCTATTCAAATCACTCTAGAAGCTCCTCAAAGACCATCACCCTTGGCCAACCACCAATCCTTTATGTCCTTCATGAAGCACTGGAAACGTTAGTTCCACATATGTGTTAGGGAAAACATATTAACAGGGATCTTTGCATGATGGTGTGTAAAAACTTGGTCAAGTATGTTTTTCTTGATGACACTGTGTTGCTGTGGTGTGATGTACACACCCTACTTGGCAGTCTTGTTTTGTGTCTGTCTGCCAGTATGTTCTTTCTGTGTTTTGTGTCTCAAAATATAACCATGTCACTGAAATAAAACTGAATGTTCTCCGGCTACCTCAATCTTTATCTTAAATCCAATTAAACCACAAAACAAACCAAAGATTGCAGTCTTGACCATTGCAATCGACTCAATTGAAAATGAATGATGAGTAGTGGAGGCATGGTGGTGGCCAACTGTTTGGGTCCGGATTATGATATATCGGTATTCTCTAATGCCTCAACTTAAAACTCATTTGCTTGGTTCGGTTCTTCGCTTGAAGAGGTGATGATTGCCATGAGCTTGCTCCACCCTGTGCCTTGTCACTCACCCTCTTTTTTGCATAGGCTTAAATCAAGTGATGCTTACAAAAAAGCCTGGGGCAATAATCAGGATGGAGTGGTGGCCAGCCAGCCTGCTCGTGTGGTGGATGAACGGGAGCAAATGGCCATCAGTGGTGGCTTCATCCGCAGGTGAGCTTCATGCATTCCACACTTCAGCGGTTACCTATTATTAAATAACTAACCACCCCAACACTGAGTGAATCTTGAAACAACAACCATTGTTTTACTCATGAGTCTATATGTTGGCCAGAAGTCTCTTCCACAAGCCTCTCCTGGGCTTACTCATCCTGCTTCCTGCAACTAAGATGCAAGAGGATGATCCAAGAGGGTCTCACTCAATTGTGTGGTAGTTGGCTGCAGCTGTCAGTGGTATACTTCTGTCCTCCTTACATGGTCTTCCAGAAGAATAATCAAGGTTTCTTTATGGTGATAGCAGCATAGCAAGGTGGCAAGCTCTAATGAACAAGCACTTAGCAAGCCTTGACTTGTGCCATATTTGCCTAAGCTTCATTAGATAAAGCAAATCACATGACCACATSCATTATATCAGTGTGGCAGTTGACAGGCATCTCATTCCATGGGTTTAGATGAACAAAGCTTACAGAGAGGTTTAGGCAGGATTAATAACAATAAATGGTGAAGCACTCATGGACTAGAAATAACAAGAAGCTATTACCACCTAAAGTGACAGGAAAGGGAGCTGGTATCAGAACCCAACAATAGTTATGACTGTGACAAGGGGCTACGGGTAGAGAAATGCAGCCACAGCCAAATCTAGCAGGGAATGCAGAAAGGAAACAAATGTCACAATACTTCACTCCTCTTGCCTTCCTTACTCTCCCAGGCCATTAGCCAAACCCATTGGAAGCCAGAGGGTAAGAGAAGCTGGGTGATATAGTCATGGAGGTCAGTGTCTCAGAACATAGAGCAAGGAAAAGTCAAAGCATAGATTTGGGGTGAACATTTCTTTTGAGGAAAAAATAAATGCCTCTTTTAAAAACCTCCAATTACACAGTTCAGCCAGTTCAGAATTCAGATAGCTCTTAGGATACCAGAAAACAGAATAATAACTAAATATTTCCTATGAAAAGAAAAAGCATGTTTTTTTTATAGACTACTATACCAGGGCTCAGTCAGGGGTAGGGCAATTGTTTCCACAACTACCTCTTCTCAGGCCATCATAACTGTTGTTGGTCACGTAGTACCCCTGTGATTCAAATGATGGGTCGATGTCACTGACATATAAGGTCTTGGTAATGCACCTGTAGGTTCACAGATGAGAATTCTCTTTCTACCTCTATCTGCTCCTAGGGAAACCAGACCAATGGGTTCTCAATGCAATAGCTACATATTAGACTCAACTGGGGSGAGTTTTAAAAAATAAAGCAATGTCTATGTCCAGCCCACACCAGTTGATTCAGAATCTTGACCAACAACACAAGCATCTGTGGTTTTAAAGCTCCTCAGGTGATTCAAATATTCAACAAGAGCTGTCAACCATTGAACTAGAATRTGTAGTAGTTATTGGTGGTCATTTATTTAATTAAGGTTTTTCCCTGTAAGAAAAAATATCTAGGAATTTCTCCCTTAATATTTGAATTTTCTCTGGCCTGGACTACCTGAAAAATCATAATGGGTCAGACTACATTGGGTGTTACCCAAGGGGGAGGGATTTTAATTTCTCTGAACATTTTTTATCCCTTGGGGAAAATCTAGAGTAGTGCTTACTGTGTGCAATAAAMACTTGTTATTTGAAATAAAGTATTTTCTTAGCCTTCACATTGGAATGTGGAAAAAATGGTAAGGTGCTTTGTAAGCCAACTCTTTCCTCTCCACATCTACCCCCATTCAAACTAAAACCATATTTTATCACAGTTTTCTGCTCTGAAATCACCCATTCACAATACCCATAATAAAAACCCATGGCATTAAAATATGAGCAAATAAAAATCATCTTCAATAAAGAGTTCCCGTTTCAGGATTAAAGGGCAGACTGTAATTATCACTACTCTTCCCACTGATAATTGGTTCCAAGTGGGAAAAGAGGTGAGAGACTCACTAACTTAGCATAATAAGTATTTTCTTTTGTTCTCAATTTGAATCCTGGAGATTTGGGTTCAAAAAGAAARCACAGTTTCTATTTAGTTCCACCTTCCTTCTCTGAACTAGAGACCCTCTATCTAAAATGATTTTATCTTAAAGAATAAAAATGTGTAGAAATCCTATATATGAAAGGAGAAATGATAGGCTGGTGTAAGTCAAAAAGTAGATGAATCTATTTTTTATACTTTCTTTAAAAATTCAAGGGTTCAAAATGCAATTTTTGTATGTTTGGGTTTTTTGTTTTGTTTTGTTTTTTAGCAATGCTGGGGATTGAAGCCAGAACCTCACTCATGCTAGCAAAGGACTCTACCACTGAGCTATATCCCCAGCTCAAAACACAATTTTAAAAGTTATTTTCGAATGTACAAAAGCTAACCGTGTTCTTATATTGGATAGAGGTTTAAGATAGAGAACATGGATGCTTTCGAGGTCCACAGACTTTCCCTAAGCATTGAATCTAATATTCAAGGTTTTTCCCACACWCTGTCTTCTAAAACTTGCTCTGTGGCTCCTAGGGTAACAAATGATGCCCGAGAAAATGAAATGGATGAAAACCTGGAGCAGGTGAGCGGCATCATTGGAAACCTCCGTCACATGGCCCTGGACATGGGCAATGAGATCGATACGCAGAATCGCCAGATCGACAGGATCATGGAGAAGGTRAGCATGCTGCAGTCTACAAGTTGTTTCTGCTTGTCATTTCTGAAACAACCAACAGGAAGTGTGACGGGCACAAGACCCTCACTCTCTGACATTGGATTCAGGCATATTAATTGCTGGAAATTGTGCTTTTAATTTTCTAAGACAAACAAACAAACAAAAATCCACAGGATTCAGCAACAGAACTTGAGTGAAGATTAGAATATAGATTTGAGAGTGGAGTGCTGAGGATCAAACCCAGGGCCTTGTGCATTCTAGGCAAGCACTCTAGGCAAGGATTGGGAAATATTTCAGAAAAAAAGTTGTATTTGCATTGAATCTTAAAGGATGGTTAAGAGTTGGCAAGTGGAGATGGTGAAGAACTAGAATCAGGAAATGGGGCAAAGAATAGTTTAGCCCGAAGGTAAGTATGAGCTTTTGTTTTGATAAATACCAAAGGTTTTTTGGTATATAATTTAAGAGGACCTAGGTTTCATTTCCAACCTAACACTTCATAGCCCAAAATTTCAAAATAAGAGGAACTTACATGATGAAATTGAGTTCACTCCAGGATACCAGACTTGTCYCTAGGACCCCCTTAGCATTGACAGGAACCCTAGGAAAGACAGAAGAGAGTAGAATGGGAAGGGATGGGCTTGGGCACAAAAAAATCAGAAAAGAATACTGGGAAGTTTCTATAAAGACATTTAGGGCACCAAAAATCTGATATTCTATACCATACAGTTCTGATATCATTTCTGTTTCCTTGTAGTCAACCCCTTCCCCAATCAGTAAGGTGTTGAATATTGATTATTATCTCTTAAAGGTCCAAATACCAAATGGAGGAAGAAACATGTTATAATAATAATAATAGTAATTGTTTCACTAATCTTATGCATATATATTTTCTGTAAGATATTGAAGTAGTCTAAGATCCTGAATTTTTTTATAACAATTAATTCCTCTTCTGTGAGCAGAGGAGGATACTTTTGTGATCATTTGAGTCACAAGACTTACCTAGTAGTTTCTTGATACCCAAACAGCCTCCAGCAACTTGAAAAAGAAACAAATAGACATACAGAGATTGTGTTGCCCTATTGTCTTGTATGTGCCCCATATTGAGAATCTCTAGTTGCATACTATTTTGCCTAATCGATATAGAGCTACACAGAAGTCACAGTTGGTTGGCAGAATGCTGTGCTTTACTTACTTTTGCAAGTTATAGCATGCACATTATCATTGTTAAGAAGCTTTTGATGTGATAAAGCTTTTAAAGCTGTGCAAGTCAATAGATTTTAGAAAAACATTGAGAGTTTCTACACGACCTGATCCAAGCCATTATGGTCCAGAAAAATGAACTTAGAAATAATTGCTGAACTGCTTTCCAACAAGAAAATGATTGAGAAAACAGGAAGCATTCATTTTCTAGTAATGGACCCAATTTACTCAGATGCAAGAAGATAATGCATCAAAGTCAATTAGGTTCCTAAAGGAGAGGTTTTACCAATGGTGAGGTCAAACTCTCATTGATAGAGTTGGTCTTGGAGCAAGAGAAAGCATTTCTTCCTGGAAAGGCAAGTGGCATCTTGATTCTGCCACTCTGCATTTCTATTTCTCATCTTTAGGGAGAACCTTTTATTCTAGGTCCAGTATACTCCACAGAGACATATGTAGCCATAAAGTTTAGTCAAAAACCAGGAAAGTGGATGGGAAATAGCTGGTCCAGTGGGAATCATTCCTTGAGTGCTGAATCATTTAAAAAATGGGGGAGGAGTCTAGCTGCTTTTGATTAGTTAGTTTATTCCAGTCAATACTGTAAATAGCACCAACCCCCTACTTTTTTTTTCCAAACTCAAAATCTGGGCATGATTGAGATAGAGCCCATTTCAACCCAGCATTGCCCCAAATGATCATGTTACTGAGCTGCACAATTACTAACAGACTGGTCTTCTCCTGGAAATTCTCTCTCTCTCTCCCACCCTCTCCCCCCACCCCCCATCTTCTTTTTGACACAATTGTACATATAAGGAATTTCATGTCAATCCCCATTCAGCCTCTCCTTCCTTCTCTCTTCCCTCTCCCTTTTCTCTCCTCTACTATTCTTCCTTTCACTCCTTTATTTATTTTGGATTGGTACCTTCTACATGTACACAAAGGAGATACTCCCTTTGGTACATCTATTCATGTATATAACATGATTTTGTGAGGCTCATTCCATATTTTTTTCCTTTTCCCTTCCTTCCTCCCTCCCTCCCTCTCATTCGTCTACTTCTGCTCCGCTGATCTTCCTTATGTATTTATAACATCTGATCCCCTCTGCAATCACCTTCTTTTCCTTATTTTGCTTTAGCTTCCACACATGAAAGGAAACATTAGATTCTGACTCTTAATAACAGAAAACAGTGTGCAAAGGTCTCCTGCATYTCTGATATTTTATTAATATCACAAAGTGAGGGGTCAGSAAAATCTTGTGATGTTGCACACATCTTCTCTCTTAACTCTAGTGACCATGTTTACCCACCTGTATTCATCATGGTCTATGATCTTCTGTCATCATTTGAATTGATAGTGACGTTTTGGGAGTCCAAAACAATTGAGATTTTCAAAACATGTAAAATCCTTGTTTTCTGCTCAAGAGCACTTATATATATTCTTCTAAGGTCAAAAACATACAGTTCTTTCAGAAAAAAAATGGAGGCAAGTGTATATCAGATGTTTTGGGAAAGGTTGCTAAGGAAATAACAGTGATATTCAAATTGCAATTTAAAGTTGTCAGTGATAGAAGTCACATTGAGAAGCATCGAAGCTGATTTTTTAGCAGTCCTCAAATTCTTCCATTAGTGAGGAAAAGCAGCACTTAAAAACTAAGACTTTAGATCCCAACAGCATTCACCAGCTCTGTGACCTGGTTGCCTCATCTAAAACATAACAGTTCAGTCCAGGCATGGTGGGGCATACTCGCAATCCCAGCTGCTCTGGAGACTGAGGCAGGAGTATTTTGCAAGTTCAAAACCAGCCTCACCAATTTAGCGAGGGCCTCAGCAATTTAGCGAGACCCTGTGTCTAAATAAAAATACAAAAGAGAGCTGGGGATGTGGCTCAGTGGTTAAGTGCTCCTGGGTTCAATCCCTGGTGGTGGTGGTAGTAGTAGTAGTAGTAGTAGTAATAATAATAATAATAATAATAATAATAATAATAATAAACAGTTCATACTTATACACAGAATGAGTAGCTATATGGAATGAGTAGCATCCAGTTTGAGAAGTTTGGGCCTAAAAGCTACCTGACATAGTCTGAAGTTGAGGAGATTCCCAGTGTTCAGATGTGGGCTGAGCAGCTCCTTAAACTACTTACTGGCTCTCTGGTGATCATTTCTGTTTTCTCATAAGGGCAAATCATGTAGCATATGTTGGGGATGTCAGCAAGTTTAGGATTCTCTAAATAGAAATGTGAAAACTCTGGAATGGGTTAGCCTCCATAAATAAAGTCCTCAAGCATATAAATAGAATGAACAGAGGCATTCTCCAAATACCAGGAAGACATCTAAAAGGAGATTCAGGACATTTTTCTTCCTAAAAGGCACTACTTTTTTATATTTTATGTAATAAAACCATGGTACCTTTTATGTTGGGTATTAGATGGGTAGGAATTTAATATGCTTCAGAAAGGATTTAGGTGGAAATCACAAATGCCCACTGAACAAAGGTCAATTCCAGCTCCTTGCCCATCTTTAAGGRTCTCCAAAGAGTAGCCTTATGCTCCCTGCAAACATCCCCTGTGCCACTTTGTGAAGGCTTATCACTGCATTCTTATGCAAGAGGTTCTAGAATGTTTGACTTCAGAAATGTCATCTGTTTTTAAATGGATTATTTTTCTTGTTTGAGTTTGTCTCAGAGTTCAGCCTGGAAACAGTCAGCATAATTTAATCTTCAGGAACATTTCACATTGGTCTGAGCTAGTAATTTTCCTTTGCACTGAAGTATCATTATTGCTGATATTATATATAGCTGGAGAGGGAGGATTTAAGAATGAAATAAAATTGGAGGAATTTTCAATTTTCCAAATGAAGAATTATCTAGAAATAAGTTCAACTTTGCAAATTTCTATTTGAACTTTTTTTTTCCAATTGTGGGGCTTGAACCCAGAGATGCTCTACCATTAAGCTACATTCTCAACCCTTTTATTTTTAAATTTTGAGACAGGGTCTTACTAAGTTACTAAGGCTGGTCTCTGTCTTGTGATCCTCCTGTCTCAGTCCACCCCCCGTCCCCACGTCACTGGGATTATAGGTGCATACCACTGCACATAGTCTAACAAATTTCTRTTTGAATATGGATGACCCTAATGTCCTAGAAATTCAAAATTCCAACGGAACAAAGAAGACCCAACTCTGTAGAGGCTGAAATGTACCAAACTTGGTAGTAGGTGTAAACTCAGTAATCACTGAGTGATAATAATTAAGAACACAGTTCTGTTTCCCTGCCCTGCCTGGATGCTTTGTGGTCCTCTTTCCAGACTGGAATTACAGACAACACTACCTATCAGGACAGGATATGACAACTAAACAGAATTGTTGTCTCTGCCTCTAATCCATCTTTCTCAGTGATGATGAGAATGATCAATTTTCTGAGGTTTAAGGTGTATTCTGGTAGCATTCCTAGGTTTTATGCTTTCTTTTTGCAGCAAAATGTAACCTAAGCAGTGAAGATATCAACCCAAAGATTAAAGGGAGCAAAAAAATTATAGTAAATATGCCCCCAATAAAGAAAAGCCTATCATGAAAATAAAAAGAACAGTAGAGCAGAGGCAGGGGATCTAGGGGAAGGGAGGAGGGATGGGGAAGGGGGGCAACAGTGGAATGAAATTGACCAACTTATGCTATCTGTATAACATCTGTATAACTATAATGCACCAATAAAAGCAATAAAGAAATAGAATGGGAATGAAAATTCTCTTCTCTCCTCTTCCCCTCCCTCCCACCCCCCCTCTCTTTCTCTCTCTTCCTTTTGACATAATTCTACATACAAGGAATTTGGTGTCAATCCCCCATTCTGCCTCCCCTTCTTTCCTTTCTCCCTCCCCTTTTTCTCAAACTGTTCTTCCTTTCATTCCTTTATTTACTTATTTTGGATTGRTACTTTCTATATGTACACAAAGGAGATAMTCCCTTTGGTACATCTATTCATGTATATAACATGATTTTGTGAGGTTCATCCATATTTTTTTCCTTTGTGTATATGTAGAAAGTACCAAAGCATCTGATATACACTTGCCTCCATTTTTTCCTTTAAGGTCAAAAACATATTTTGACCTTTGAAGAATATTTACATGTTTTGAAAACCTCATTGTTTTGGACTCCCAAAACTTCACTATCAATTCAATTGATGACAGAATATCATAGATCATGATGAATAGAGGTGGGTAAACATGGTCCCCGGGGTTAAGAGAGAAGATGTGTGCAACATCACAAGACTTTCCTGACCCCCACTTTGTGATATTAATRAAATATCAGAAATTGAAGGAAGACCAATAGAGTAGAGGAAGGGGATGTGGGGGAGACCAGTCAATCAACACACTCACATTTGTGAGTCTTCAGAATAGAGTTTGAAAATGATCAAGCATCCCCAAAAGCTGTAGCTTATAGTAACTGCAAGAGAAGATGCATTGAGCATTTATGTTTGCAAAACATTCTTTTTTCCATATTTTTATTGGTGCGTTAGAATTGTACGTAATGGTGGGGTTCATTGTCACATAATTGTACGAATTACAATACAATAATATAATTTGTTTTATTCCCCAGTATTTCCTCCCCCCCTTCCCTGTCCTGGTCTCTTTCCTCTACTGATCTCCTGTTGATTATCATGAGATCCTCCCCCATACACACACACCCCTTTCTTTTCCTTTTTCCTCTCTAGCTTCCATATATAAGAAAAAACATATGACCCTTGACTTCTCAATTTGTCTCATTTTGCTTAACATAATGGTTTTCAGTTCCATTCATTTTCCTGCAAATGACATAATTTAATTCTTCTTTATGGCTGAGTAAATCTCCATTGTGTATATATACCACATTTTCTTTATCTGTTTATTCCCTGATGGACACCTAGGCTAGTCCCACAGGCAAAATGTTATTCTAAGAACATTACTTACATAGTAATAAATATAGACTTGATTCATCCTCACTGCAAACCTAAGTAGTAGAGTGATATACAGTATGGATTCTGACTTCAGGCTACTTGCATTCTGTTTGTGGTGTCCCCCCCAAGTACTAAGATTTTAGACAAATTGCCTAAATCCTGTCTGCCTGATTTTCTCACTTGGAAAAAGGAGCTAATAATCACACACACCTGGTGGTTGATGTTATCAATATTGAATGAATGGAACAAAGTAGATGCTCATGCTCTCTGGCCGTATTCTTTATTGTCCCCAGAGAGTAGACAAGAAAGCTGAGATTCCGAGATACAATTTGTTCAAACTGACATAGCTAATAAGTGAACCATRACTGTACAGTGGTGGTGATTCAACTCAGTCCAACAGATGGAAGTACCATAGAAGTCATCAACTATCCTTCCAGGATAGAAAGATAAATGACAAAGAATGCTCTCTGGTGGGGAAAACCGTGAAAAAGCAAAATCAAGTTTAAGTGATCATCCAAGTAGAGCCGTAGCAATGGTCCTGGAAACACAGAAGTGAGAGTGGCCAGTTCTGACTGGGTATCTTCTTCACCCAAGAAGCATTTGACCTGGACCCTGAAAGATGAACAAGATGTCAAGGGTTCTGTTTTCTTTCTCTTTTTTTCTAGGCTGATTCCAACAAAACCAGAATCGATGAGGCCAACCAACGTGCAACAAAGATGCTGGGAAGTGGTTAAACGTTCTCAACTGTGCTCTCTTCTGAATGCTGTTGGGCAAGATAGCTCCTTCATGCTTTTCTCATGGTATTACCGAGTAGGTCTTGCACATACACACACACACACACACACACGTACACACACACACACACACACATACACACAATCAGTCCACCCCCATCGTAAATGTTGTCCTGTGTCATTTGTCAGCTTTCTGACAATGCCATATGTCTTTTGTTCTCTGAGTCTCTTTCTTTCCAAAGGTTGTACATAGTGGTCATTTAGTGGCTCTAACGCTCTATGTAAGATGTCTTGGGTTTCATTTTCCCTTTTTTTCTCTCCTCAGTGGCGTTTGCTGAATGACAACAATTTAGGAATGCTCAATGTGCTGTTGATTCTTTCAATACACAGTATTGTTCTCGTAAAACTGTGACATTCCACAGAGCTACTGCCACAGTCCTTTCTTTGGGTGTCAGGCTCTGAATCTCTCAAAATGTGCTGTCTTTAGTTCCTCATGGCTCTTATCTGTCTTTATGATTTCATGATTAGACAATGTGGAATTRCATAACAGGCATTGCACTAAAAGTGATGTGATTTATGCATTTATGCATGAGAACTAAATAGATTTTTAGATTCCTACTTAAACAAAAACTTTCCATGACAATAGCATACTGATGAGAAAACAACGCACACACACAACACAACAACAACCAACCAACAAAGCATGCTCAGTATTGAGACACTGTCAAGATTAAGTTATACCAGCAAAACTGCAGTAGTGTCACTTTCTTTCTGTCGACATATAGACTTACTAATCATAATCATCCTTTTTTAAAAAAATGAATTTTAAAAAAAGATGGATTTGACACACTCACCATTCAATCATTTCCAGCAAAATATATGTTTGGCTGAAACTATGTCAAATGGATGTAATATAGGGTTTGTTTGCTGCTTTTGAAGGCTATGTTTTGGAGAAAATAATCTTGCTGTGAAACAGTGTGGAGATGTAAATTTTATAAGGCTGACTCTTGTTGATCACCATTTCCCCTGTGATTCGTTATCAGTACAATTCTTTGTTGCTTAATCTAGAGCTATGCACACCAAATTGCTGAGATGTTTAGTAGCTGATAAAGAAACCTTTAAAAAAATAATATAAATGAATGAAATATAAACTGTGAGATAAATATCATTACAGCATGTAATATTAAATTCCTCCTGTCTCCTCTGTCGGTTTGTGAAGTGATTGACATTTTGTAGCTAGTTTAAAATTATTAAAAATTATAGACCCCAGATATCCGCTTTAGTTTCTTCATGGACCCGTCTGATTTGGCATTCACACAAGAAGACAAAGCCTCATTAATCTGTTCCATTGCTCCTAAGAAGCCAATTGTATGTGAAGACAACACTGGGTGGAAGAACCAAAGATGTCCTCTTTAAACATAATTCCAAGGCAGCTGACAGTTTGGCTTTATTTTCATAATTTGTTCTACAAATACTTGCCTGTGAATTCAGTATTAGCTGTGTGTGGGGTGGGGGGAGAATGTAGTTTTCCAGCAGACACTGAAAAAAATCTGTGGTATTCAGACTTGGTCCTATGTAAATTCAGGTACATCTGGTGTCAGTCAACTTTTATCTTCCTTCTTGTCCTCCAAACGCCCACCAACCAAAGTTCAGCCCTTAACTAATCACAACCACCACCATCAGTACTGGCCCCAATTTGTTTTTATAACTCTTTGGACTTATCATAAAATGCACCCATTTAGCTGGGAATGTAACTCCATAGCAGAATGCAGATCTAGCATTTAATATAAAATTCAAAGGTTGTTTAGTATATTAATAACAAAGTTGTCTAGTATAATTTTAGAACATCATTATCACCCCCAAAACAAGCCRCATGCCTATTGGCAATTATTCACATCTCACTTTCCCAACCCTAGACAACAACTAGCTTATTAATTGTCTCTATAATGATTTTCCTGTTCTGAATATTTCACATAAGTAATCATACAATGGTCTTTTTATCACTGACTTCTTTCACCTGGGCTTCTTTCACTTGCATGTTTTCAAGGCTTATCCATGTTGCAGGGTGTATATCAGTACTTCATTCATTTTTCCAACCAAATAATATTCCATTGTATGGATATGCCACATTTTTTTCATCCATTCATCAATTTATGGACATTTGGGTACTTCCACTCTGGACTATTATAACTAATGCTGCCATGAACATTCATGTGGAAGTTTTTTGTTTTGTTTTGTTTTTGTAGACRGATGTTTTCAATTCTCTTGCCATCACAGTTTTACCACCATAATGGTCTCTACCACTACATCCACAAACAATTACACCACCAATACCTCTACAAGATCACCTCCACCACCACCCCAACCTACACCATCTTCATTTTTTACATTGTCTATACTCTTTCTCCACTCTCTTAACCAGCACTTCCACCATCACTGTTTATCACCAGCTTTATTACAATYACCATAATCACCTCCATGATGACTGTCACCACCACCTGTACCTCCACATTGCCCACACCACCATCTCCTCCATCACTTCCATCTCTTCCACCTGCACAACTCTCTGCATAACCCCATAATAACAATGCAGATAAATGTATCCTGATTCATTAGGTTGACTGTCAGATAATTTTACCCACAAAATTTGGTGAGACCAGTTATGATGAAAGAACAGAGATGACAACATTGTCCTTGTAAATAAATGTTTGCTGTTCTTTGGCCTCTTTTCCAAGCCTCAGAACATATTATTATGTAGGTCCCCCAATGCTCAGGGAAGCTATTCTAAGGAACTAGAGTAAGAACACATTTATTCCTTAAAATCATGGCAGTAAAAAGGGATGCTAGAAGACAGAGAAAGTGAATATGTTCTATATGTCAAAATTGCCAAAGGGTCAGTATGTGGGCCATGTTCTGTTCCAAACTCCATCTGTTCTCCACCAGTCAGTAAATGTATTCTCATATTGTTTGAGAATTTAAAATCATACACTAAGTACATGAGAGTTAAAATACAGGCATTTTGCTTTTAAGACCAGTCACATAATTCATTGTGAAGCACATTGCCTTTAATGATTTCATTTGTCCTGCCTCAGTTCTTATGAAGTCAGCAACTTCTAGCTAAAGGATAGATCCTCAGGGATAATTCATCTCTGGGCAATGTGCCAMCCCAGGAAATGTATTAGAAATGTAATGGTTAGTGAAGACAGAGCACTGTAAAGGCTAAATCTTCTATGTCCTCCCAACACCCATGCATGGCACTAGGAAAGGACCCTTCTACAAAAGACCAGAGCTGAARAATGGTCCCAGATCCTAGTGAGACAGTCCTTTCCTCTTGTCCTTCTCTCCATTTCTAGTTTCTGTTATCCCTCCTTTAAATACTCCCTAGCATCTACTTTGACCAACTTTCCCTGATTTCTRTGTCACTAAATCATTAGCAAATTGATGATTGCACTGGCTATTAAGAGAAAGGACAATTTCATATTTTATGATCATTAAGTACATGCCAGACACTGTTAAGTGCCTCTTTTATGTTGACTCATTAAACCCTCTTAAAAACTCTGCAAAATTGGCATGTATTAGTCCYCTTCTGCAGATGAAAACATTGACCRTTTATTTGAACAAGATCTCTTAGCTAATAAGTGGCAAAGGCATGATTCAAACCAGATATGTGTGACTCTAAAGTTCAAGAGAGGCCTAGAAGGTACATTCCAGGAGACATTTAGCTCTCAATTCAGCCAACAAGGAAACTCCAGGAGACATTTGGCTCCAAGAGGAACAGCAAACATGGCAGGAATGGTTTTCTTAGAAGGTCTTAGGAAGCCAGTTTTCATTCACTCACTCCTTCAATAAATATTTACTGAATTTCTATTATATACCAGGCCCTGTTCTAAGTATTATGGGTATAGCAGTAGGGAACCAAAACAACTAACAGAGAAAATTCCCTGTATTCATTGAAATTTAATGTTCAGAAACAGTCTTCAACCAAGGATGGATGGGGAGTGGACACTCTAGCTGCCTGGGTCCTRGGTTAGGACACCACTGAGGTATACATCCTTCATTGTCTCCCTGAGTTTCCCCCATGGACTCAATCTCCAGTTTCTCTCTTGAGAATTTACCTGATGATTATCACTGTCTGTATTGTCCACCTTCTCTTCTCTCTCTTTCTCACCTTGCTACTTATTTTTCCTAGAACCCTTTCTCAAATAAACAACTGGTCGTGAAATTCTTGTTTGAGGGTCTACTTCTAGGGGAGTCCTCCCAAAGACAACCCTTTTATGAAGTTCATGTCAACTCCTGAACATCTCCCCAAATCACTGCCATAGAGCAGTGTGCTGCCTTCCACCTACTTCTAGCATTCTTACTTCTGTGAAACATCCCTTAATACTGTCAGCTAGCATCTAAAAACTGGCATTCCTTGGGGATGGGGTTGTGGCTCTGTTGGTAGAGCACTTGCTTAGCACTTGCTTAGACACTGGGTTCGATCCTCAGCACCACATAAAAATAAATAAATAAATAAAGTTTTWAAAAAACTGGCATTCATCAGTGAAGAGCCAGGGCCACTTGCAAATCAATAACAGCTATCATCTAACCCCACTGCCCTTCATTCATGAAGTCCAGCCTTTGCCCCTCACACACAGCAATAGCCCTCTGCAAACAAGTGTAGGTGACATGAAATTTTATAGTAAAAGATACTATAGTAAAAGATAATAAATGATACCTCCCACAAAACTATAAAGAGTTTATAAAGAAAAAAAAGGAGTTTATAAAGAGTAGTATGCAGCTGCTATGAAAAGAACATTTAATCAAGAGTCTTGAAACTTCCCTGAGCTTTAATCTGTGTGTGTCTAAGCTAAATGCTGTGACTATGCTTGCCTTACTTACTTGACAGGACACTTGGGAAAAATCAACTGAGATGACGTTCATTAAAATGCCTTTTAAATCTTCCATGCCACCAGGATGACAACTAAAGTGAAAGGAAACACAGTCGGCACCATCAGGAA